GACTCGCCCGGATCTGGAGCTCAGAGTCTGCGACTCCCTCCCGATTGAAAACGCCAACCGCGCCCTCCGCCGCCAGCCCGCTCGCGCACTCCGCACCTCAGAATTTGACTTCAGCACTGCGCCTCCTCTGGGTGTCCGTATGCGTTTCTCTTTCCTCCTAGTTGTAGGTCTTCCACTCAGCCAGCGTTCCTGTGGTTCTGGGTGATGTCCCTACCGTCTTTTAGTTTCACTTTTGAAGTAGTTGTTCAAAGCAGCAAACTCCGGCGTTAACCTATGCCGCCATCTTGGTTCTCCCAGATGAATTTTTGGAGAGTTCGTTCTAGATCTGTGAAATATGCCGTTGGTATTTTAGTGGGAAGTGCGTTGAATTTATAGATTGCTTTGGGTAATATGGTCATTTTGATGATGTTGATTCTACCAATCCATGAACACGGTATGTTCTTCCATCTGTTTATGTCTTCCTCTCTTTTTTCAACATCCTGTAGTTTTGTGAGATCTTTTACCTCTTTAGTTAAGTTTATTCCTAGGTAGCTTAACTTTTTTGGTGCAATGGTAAATGGGGTTGTTTTTTTAGTCTCTCTTTCTGAGAGTTCACTATTGGTGTATAGAAATGCCTTAGATTTCTTGGGGTTAATTTTGTATCCTGCTACATTGCCAAATTCATGTATTAAGTCTAGTAGTTTTTTGATGGAGACTTTAGGGTTTTGTATGTATATCATGTCGTCTGCAAATAAGGACAGTTTTACTTCCTCTTTTCCAATTTGGATGCCTTTTATTAAAAGTCTTGTTTTAAAATGTGTGCGTCATTCAGAGTAGTGTGATGAACCCTCCCACTGCCCCCTCCAGATGTGAATCATCCCTTGGTCTGGAGTGTTCACCCTGTATACCTGACCTGCCCTAGTCATTTAGCAGCCATTTCGGTTACCAGTTCAACTACCTCAAGTACTTAGGTTTCAAGTAAACTTGATTTAACTTAATAATGGCCCAAAGCACAAGAGTGAACAATACTGTAAGTATGTATGTATAGGGAAAAAAAACACCATATATAGGGTTCTGTACTATCTGTGCCTTCAGGCATCCTCGGAGTGGGGGTAGGGGCAGGGGAGGGGTGGGGGCAGGGTCTTGGAATGTATCTCCCACGAATAAATGCGGATACTCGGAGACTCCTGTCCTGGATCTCAGTTGCCTCAGCTATATAAAACGCGGCAAGGAGGACTGTTCTTTGGATTCCAGATCACAGTGCTTGGCAGGTGCCCCATCAAGAGCAAGGTATTGAGACCACCGGAGAGACCAGGGGTATGCTCAGGCCAGAGAGCAGTATGGTGTGGGGCGGGTGACAAGTTCCTCCTTCAGAGAGACCCCCCGCCCCCCTCTGCTATTCTCATTTAATCTCTGCTTTGCCAGCTCCAAGCACTCCGCGAACCGCTGACTCAGGGGTAACGGAACGGCGTGACTACAGGGAAATGACCATTTTTTTTTTCCTTGCCCGGAGTCCCGAAAACCGACGAGTCTGAAATGGCTTCTGCTGCAACAACAACACCACCAACAATACCACGACCACCACCATTCCCACCGCCCCCGCCCCCGCCGCCGCCGCTGCCGCCGCCGCCGCCGCCGCCGCCGCCGCCGCCGCCGCCGCCGCCGCCGCCACCACCACCACCACCACCACCGCACCAGCACCAGCACCAGCACCAGCACCAGCAGCCAGAGGGTCAGGATTGGCCAACCCAGACTTTGCCCCCAAGCAGCCTTCCCGGGATTGACCTCTAGCACGGAGCCCGCAAAAAGTGCTGAGTCACGCGGAGGCGGCGCCACACGCCCCGAGGCGGGCCGGCCGTCACGTGGCTGGGGCTGTATCACAACAACCGCGCGGCGTGCAGCGCCCGCGCTTCCTCCCGCGACCGACCCGCTCTCCGAGCATGCTCAGCTCGGCCGCGCGGCTGCGGGAGCACCCAGCGCCCCGCTCCACCGTCCGGGTTTTCCCGGCGGCCGCCCTGGGTGCTAGGAGCCAGGGATGCGCTGTCTGAACCGCCGCTCTCTGGGCTTGGTTCCGGCCCTGAGAGTCTCCCCCCCCCCTCCCCCCCCTCCCGCGAAGAAATCACCAGGAATCGCCTTTGGGAAAGGCCTTCGGAAGAGCCGATTCTGCAATATACGAGCTCCTTCTTTCCTCCTGAAGGATCGCTGAAGCCCTAAGCATGTCAAACTCGCGGCATGTCAAACTTGCTTGCTTTCGGGGCTGTCTGCTGAAAACCCACTCCCCGGTCCTGGTTGCAATCTGCAGAATGAAATCCAGAAGTAAACCTAAAAATGCAAAACTCTGTCCAATAAAGGGAAATGACTGTTGTTGAATGTGACTTCCGTTGGGCTGATCTGTGGTGGGTTTCTTTACCCCTTGTAACAGTAGTTGGAAAGGCACTGTAGAGACCGTGGTTTAAATTGTGCATTAACTGCCCACGCTGCGCCCAATTGGGGATTGTCCAGAGCCCAGGAGCTCACTCTGGGGGTGCTAGTTTGGAGTTTGGGGGCTCTTCTGTGAGAATCAACCGGAATCTGAGACTGAGTGACTCAAATGATAGTATTAACTCTCACTACATCCAGTATCACGTAGAGCATTAGCTAGATTAGAACTATGGCTCTTCCGCCCCCCACCCCCCCCACCCCCTCACTGTTTCCTTTTTAAAACGAAACTGACGCTTTCCCAAGAGACCAGCTTCACCATATTGTGAGGAAATGAAGCAGGTGTAGGAGAAAGTGTGTGCTTTGCAAAGTGTAAAAGTCTACACCTGCGCTGCTTTAACTGGAAATGCAAGCCACATATGTAATCTAAAAATTGCCATTAGCTACCTTTAAACACTGAAAAGAAACAGGTGAATTAATTTAAATTGTTTTGACATATTCAAAATACTACTATAGCAACATATTCAATATAAAGTTATTAATGAGATATTTGCATTTTGGGGGTACTAAGTTTTTGAATTGGGTGTGTGTATTATACCCACATCACACCTCCCAGGCCACTAAATTTTCATTGGAAATACTTTATCTGTGTTTCATAAAATTAACAGATGGAAAAGTGGATTTATATCCCAACCTCTTCCAGATTTACTGAAAAGTCTTCAGCAACCAAATTAAATATCAATTTTGAAATTTATATTTAGGTGGGCTTAAATAAAACTAAAACTCAGTTTCTCAGTCAAATTAGCCATATTTCAAACATGGTAGCCACAGATGGTGGATGGCTATTGTGTTGAACAATGCAGATCTATGCAAATATGTGGTGAGATTGTGAGAATAACAAAAGGATCCTTTGGATGCCTCCTCACCTGTATTCAAAACAATGACCAACCCTGTCTCCCACCCCAGCCCCCATTACCTGCCTTCCATAGGAAGCAAACATTTATGCAAAGCACTTTAGAATTAAAGATACAAAGGCATAAATTATCTCTATCCCAGAGGAAGTCACTATCTAATGTGGAGATATTTTTAAAAGGATTCTTTTATAATGTAGAAATAGAGGCATGTTCAAATGTAATCAAAATACAGGGAGGAGTAACTGCAACTGGAAGAACAGGAATGTGTCAGGTGGAGAATTCTAAGCAGAAAGACACAACAGAAAGCCAGGACCACACAGGTCTGGAGAGATGGGTGGGGAGGGTACACGGAAGAGTAGGGCAGTAGGTGGGGTTGTTTGAGTCAGCTGGGGGTAAATTAGAATGAGACTTGGTTTCTATCCAGGCTATAACTCCAGGATTGAAACATCATCCCCTGAGCTTCAAGCACTGCCACACTCCAGCCCCTCCCCCCCCCCATACATACACATACCCTGCTGTGAAAATTACAGCCAGATCTTGGGTATACATGTCCCCAAGCCCTGAGATGGGCACATCCAATATGAAGGGTATGAGAGAAGAGACTCCTATCATATATCCACTTAGCAGTTAATAAGTGCTTACTAAATGTTAACTTTGTAGTGTGAGGGAAGTGGGCACAATAAGTACACACGTTCTGGCCCCAGTACATGTATGATCTAGTTGCTGTCACCCTTTCCCTGACCTGTCATGTCATTGCTCTGTCAACACATTTATTGAACAACTACTTTGTGGTGAGGTGCCTTGTATCTTCCCTTTCTTGCCAGGTAGGGCCAACCCCAGCTGTTTCTTCTATCTTCTACCCCTAGGGTAAACTCACACGAACATTATTGTAACCACTTACTGGATGACTCTTAGGCTAGGACCAGGTATTTATTTTTGGAGGTGATTCCTTCCAATGACCCATCTAGGGATATGGACAAAGTCCCCTTTGTTGCAATAAATGGTGTCTGTGTCATCCAAAGAATGTATGTCATCAAATAATTGGAGAATACACACATATTGTAATATACACACGTATCTAAAAACTTGTAGACAAATTGATTCTTCTTAATAACCAGATCATTTATTGACCATTAACTCTATGCACCTGTGCATATGCACATTCTTACAACAGGCAAAAAAGACAGGTAATATAATTTTGTACAGGTATGAAAATAACCTGCCCAAGGTCTCACAGGCAGTCAACGGCGGACACTAGAATTGAACACGTATTTCATCTGCCTCCCAAGTTAATATTTTTCTTGCCATACCCTGCTGTTCTCACCGTGCTTTTATAAGTGTGAAGCCCCTCTCACCTAAAAAACAATCCGGTGGGTCCTTCATTAATTCAAATAACCAACTTTCTTCCCCAAACCCGAGTCGATATCTTTGGGTAAGAGAAAACTAACTTCTACATTTCGCTTTTGCTTTCAGCCAGGCCGACCATACTCTTCGCCCCCCGGGAGCGCCTTCCCTCTGACTCCGCCCTAACCACGCCTGCGCACGCCCACCCCTGCAGCCCGCTTTGGTCTCTTCCGGCGCTCGGCCACGCCCTCCTCTGACCCGCCCCTATCCCCGGCCCCGCCCCTTTCCCCGCCCCCCCAGCCCGTAGTTTATAAGATCCGGAGCGACGGATCACTCCCAGGAAGGGCGGGCGCGCGGATGGGAGGACTGGGCATGCTCCGCGGCGGCGCAGGTTTTGGTCACAAGTAGGAAGGAGCCAGTGCAGGGCACCGGCAAAGAGAAGCGGGAGCCGCCGCGGCCCCGCCGCCTCGGAGCAGGAGCGGGAGCTGGGGCGGGCGAGGGGCGAGGCTGCCGGGCCGAGAGCTGCCCAGCCTGACCTCACGTCCTCTGCCTCTCAACCCGCGTGGTGCGCCGGACCCTGGGCCGGTCCCTGGGCGGTCAGGACCGCGCGCGGGGGAGCCGGAACGGACCGGACCCTCCCCCGGCCGACTGCGGCCCGAGGGCGCCCCCCCCGGGGCGGAGCAGCTGGAGCCGCCGCTGCCTCCTGCGGGCAGCTGAGTGTCCGGCTCGCGCCCCGCGCCGGGAGCGTGCGGCCGCCGTCAGCGCCCGAGAGGAGGAGGAGGGGGCGGCCATGGGGCTGCTGTCCCAAGGCTCGCCGCTGAGCTGGGAGGAGACCAAGCGCCACGCCGACCACGTGCGGCGGCACGGGATCCTCCAGTTTCTGCACATCTACCACGCCGTCAAGGACCGACACAAGGACGTGCTCAAGTGGGGCGATGAGGTGAGAGTCCGCAACCCCCCCCACCCCCCTCCGGGCCGCCCGTCAGGCCACCCTGCGCCGCCTTTGTTCCGCAAGGCCCTACCTGCGAGCCTCGGCCCCAGGACCCCACGGCTGTCTGCGCCCTGCACGGCGCCCCAGGGTCCCCGGGCGCCTCCCTGCCCCGGCTCGCCGTCCCTGCCCTCTCCCACTGGATTGCCTGGGGCGTGGGGCCCTGCTCTGAGCCTTCCGGCCGGGCTACTCTCACCCATTCATTCATTCATTCATTCATTCATTCACTCATTCACGTGGGTTTCCTCCTTCTCTAAGCAAATGTGGATTGGGCACTGGGAGGGCTCCACCGTGAAAAGGCGTGACATTTGGTGCCGCGGGGAGTTTACAGTCTCTGAGACTTCTCTGCCGGCCGCCTTTCGCGATCTCATCTCAAAATGCACTGTTGCTATTAAAGCGAAAGGAAAGTTGTCCTAGGAAGGAAGGCCCGTCGTTATTAGGGATCAGGTCTAAAGGATGTTCCCTTCTGCGCTGCACCCAACTCCTCATCAGTCCCCCCTTTGCGCACACACACACACACACACACACACACACACACACACACGATAGGGATCAAGTGAAACTGAACTTCTTTTGCCCCTGACGAGGAGGAGCCCTCCTGGCCTTGTTTAATTCTAACTGGGAACTCAGCGCCTCATAATTGGGATTGTTAGTACCTCGCCATGGCCTAAATCCAGCATCTTAAACTTTACACATCAGCGCTTCAGCATATGTTCTGCCTGGAGGTGAAATGTCTCTGGGTTCTCAATATGTTGAACCTTAGTTTAATTGGAATGATCTGGAAAGCATTGCCTCCGGTTAGAGTTACTCTTTTCTGCCAAAGCATTTTGTGCTCTCCTTCCCGTTTTAAAAAAACACAGGTATACAGTTTGCAGTTAAGATAATTAAATGACTTCTTGAAGAACCCATTTATATTTGTGTTTTTCTCACTCGCCTTCTATGGCGTGGTCAGGTGTAAATGATTTCTCTTCTAGACATTGCTGTCACTCTGGACCTAAGTGTCAAGGTGCTGCTCCACCAATACAGACTCTCTCCCTGAAAAAGTTTTTCTGTTTCTAAGACTGGAACATAATTCTACTTCTTGCAGTTGAAGGAATTGTGCAGTTTTAAGTTAGAAAAGTATAATAACCAGTAATTCACATTTCTACTATAAGTGTTTTTTTTTCCTGTCACAAAAGGAGTACAGTATGTTTGGTGATAATTCTTCAATTTTAGTCAAAAGTTCATTGTTTCTTTACAGCATCTAGCATTTTATATGTTCATTTGTGTATTTTATGATCTATCTACTGTACCCCTTAGAATTTTTTTCTCTCTAGGACTTTTATAAAAATGGAATACTATGAAGAATATTGATGTATTCATGCATAGTAAAGAATATCATGTCAAACTTTTGAGTTATTTATTTGAGGTGGTGTGTATTGGGTCACATTTAGATTATTTCTTACTATGGTTTCAGTTAAAGGAGTTGGAAAGCCAGGTTTATTGTGGAAGGCTTCCTTGATGAGATGAGGCTGTGAAAAAGAGCAGTAGAGTAATTACTCCAGTGTTAGCACTAACCCTTACACACAGTAGGAATTCATAACCACATTTGCTGAATAGAAGCCTTCAGGCAGGGGCAGACAGCAGGCGAGTTTGTTTTCATACAGAAGCCTAGGGCAGTAATTGAGAAACTGGCTGGGCAGATAAGAGGAGAGAAGGGTGTGGTGGGTAGCATGGCCCCTGAGATGAAGAGTGGCCTTGGCCGACAGAAAATGGTGTTTGGGAGGCGATATGCTGGACAGTGTTAACATGAAACCAAAACATTGCTCTTCATGGGAAGGTTTGGTGTTGTGCTTACCAGATCATGGACTTGGATTGAAAAAGAAGAAAAAAGTGCCTTGACACTGTGGCAGGAGAGCCTGCCACGTTAGAAATGCTCAGCCCTGGTTACTAGGACACTGCTGGTCTCTGGTGTTTAATCAGAAAGAACCCTGGCTCTGGAGTTTCACTGGTGTTGGATTCCAAGGCCTGCCCAACTGCCTGTGTGATTCCCAGCCTCAGCTTCCTCATTTGGCAAGTGAGGGAGTTGGACATTCTTTCCCTTCCAGCTTTTACAGTTTAAGTACAGTTGGAATAAATTTTTAAATAATGTACATCTTTCAAACTAGTATGTCAGTCTTTGAAACTCACCTGGAGATAATCTTTAGATTGCTGAGTAAATAGAGAAGGCTGTCACCAATGGCCATGGTAAAAATGGATTGTATAATAAAGGTGTGTGTATGCTGGCTTATTGGAACTAAAAAAGTGGGAACCTTATAGATAGGTAGAGTCCAAGATCAGCTTACAGATGCATTTTTTTACCTTTAGTGTGACAGGTGCTAACCCTTGCCACCATTTATTCTGTTTCTGTTGGAAATAGTTCTAACTCCTAGGTGCCAGGAACTCATAGGTTCATTTTGCCCCAGGACGGGGTGGGGGTGGAGGGGAGAAGATGGATATCCCTGGGTGCTCTATTGCTGCTAAACATAGTATGTATGCAAAAAAGTATGCACTTCTCTCTTCACAGCTCACACACAACTTTTCAGGTATAGATTTTGTTTATAACTTGGAGTCTGCATATTAAAAGACAAACCTATGAAATCTATGGTGCAAATGTGGCAATAAATACAACTTTTGAATTTTCCCTGATAATCACTCTAGTGTTAGCTACCTGCCAGCCCTTTGCTGCTATTTAGTGGCAGAGGCATTATCAGAATTGAAATCTGTCTGACTCGAGGTTCATTTCTTAAACACATTATACCGGGTTTGGATTATTTACAATGTATGAGATTTCATCAAATCTCCATTTACAGAGTTCAAACTCTACAGGTTGTGGAGGTGCCAGAACACAACATTTAAAAGCAAACATTTTTCTTAAATGTTTTAATCCAATGTTGTGTGGCTCTCAAAGGCAAGAATGTAAATTGTCCTCTAATTAGAAAAGTCCGTGTGAACTTTGAGAGGAAAATATATGTCTTTAATATTTATGAGTGTGTTCTTAACATGTATAAAACTAAGACTGAGGTGGTGGGATTTAAGGGTTAATGTAACATCTGTTGATTTTGAGCTACAAATTTGCCAGTGTAGGTGTGCTTTTGTAAGAGTGCTTAAGTGACTATTTAGAAAATGCATGGCTTGTCAGTCAATAAGATTATGATCATGTAGCAAAAGTAACATAATCCTCAGCTAAAAATCTGGAATCGACAAAAACATAGTCATTTTAGCCTAATGGAAAGTTTTGTGTAGCAATTACTTAATCTCTCTTAACCTCATTTTTGCCATCTGCAAAATGGGGACTATAGTACTATAGTCCCTTCCTGGTAGGATTATTAAGATTTAATACTTCTGTACAGCTGGCTCCTCTAGAAAAATGTTTCTGTACTTCTGAACCAATTACTATATCCCCATCATATCATTGTCAAATACCTCTGTGAAGAGGAATGCCTAGAGTATCACTTCTAATACTACTTATAGTAATGTCTAGAAGTGGTATTAGCCAGTGTACTTACTAGTATTCTATGTGTAGCTTCATTTTGAGGTGTAAATTTAGGTAAAGTTTATTAAGATCCCATATCTTGAGAAAAGATATCAGGATATTAATTGAGCCTTTAACATCAGAATTTGTGTTTCTGAACATTTTTAGATACTCAAGTCATCTGAATGTATTGTTAAACCTAAACTATATACAGTGGGGCCTTGACTTACGAGTTTAATTCGTTCCGTGACAGAGCTCATAACTCAAATTACTCATATGTCAAATCACTGTGACGTTCGCTGCGCCAACTAGCGGTGGGGTATCTGAAGCTGGCTCGTAACCCACATTTTTTTGAGCTTGCAACTCAAAGCAAAAAATCGACCGAGAGTCGGCGCGTATCTCAAAAAAACTCGTTAGTCGGGACACTCGTAAGTCAAGGCCCCACTGTATGGGGCATTACTGATGTTGCTGGTATTATTGGATGGACCATATCCTAATGAGCTTGCTAATTAATATTCTCTGTTCATGATTTAGCCAAGTTGTGTGTGTGTTTTTGTTTGTTTTTGGTGAGAGAGGATGTAGGGGAAGGAGGAGGGCAGAGAGAGAAAGAAACATTGATGTGAGAGAGACACATCGATTGGTTGCCTCCTGTTCATACCCCAACAAGGCTGGGGATTGAGCCTGCAGCTGAGGTAGGTGCCCTTGACTGGGAATCGAACCCATGATCCTTCAGTCTGTGGGCTGAGGCTCTGACCACTGAGAAAAACTGGCCAGGGCTAACCAAGTTCGTTTTTTAATATTGTAACAGCTTTATTTAGATATAATTGATATATAGTAAACTTCATATATATAAAATGCACAATTTGATAAATTTTGATATATGTATATACCTGTGCAACCATCACCACAAAATGTCCTGGTGCCTCTTTGCAATTTCCCCCTTCCCTCCCCTTCCCTAAGGGATCTTCTTTATATTACTGTAGCTTAGTTTGAATTTCGTAGAGTTTTATATCTAGGAAATCATGCAGACCAAAAATCTTGTACTTTTTTGGTCTCACTTTTAAACTCTGCATATGTGTTTGAGATTCATTCATGTTGTTGCATGTGTAAGTAGTTCATTTGTTTTAACTGCTGAGTAGTATTCCATTGTATGGATATACTACAATTTTGTTTATTCACTTTTTGGATTATTTCCAAATTTTAGCTATTACAATAATTCAAAACACTTGTGAACATAAACAGAAGTTTTTGTATGGACTTATGCTTAAGTCTTTATTATTATGTAGGAATGATGTGTTTTAGCTTTTCAAAGAAACAACCAAACATTTTCAAAGTGGTTGTACCATATTTTACATTTCCACCAGCAGTGTATACTAGTTCTAGTTTGTCTACATCATTGCCAACACTTGGTATACTCAGTCTCATTAATTTTAGCCATTCTAATAGGTGTGAGGTAGTA